TCCTCTCTGGGGGATGGGCAGCAGAGGGGTGGGTGAAGGAAGACGCCGGGCAGTGTGATATAAGACATAATAATAATTTATAAATTACAAGTGATCATGAGGGAGGGAGGGTGGGAGAGGGAGGTGAATGAGCTGAAAGCAAGGGCTCAAGTAGAAAGAAAATGTTTTTAAAATGATGATGGCAACATATGTACAAATGTGCTCAACACAATGAATGGATGTATGGATTGTGATAAGAGCTGTCAGAGCCCCCAATAAAATGATTTTTTAAATTTCATATCTAGAATATAGAAAGAATTCTCAAAGTTCAACAGCAAAAAAAAATAATAATCCAATTTTCAAATAGAATCTATGAAGAGAAAATTTACCAGAATGTATACAAATGGCCAAAAAAGCACTTGACAAAATATTCAACATCACTAACCCACAGAGACATGCAAATGAAACTAAAATGTCATTTCCGTGCACACCGACTAGAATGGCGACATTAAAAAAAGTCACCTGTGATAGTATGAACTGGTACAGAACTTCTTCAACATTGCTTGTCATTTTCTTTAAAAAGTAAACATGTAACCACTATATAGCTCAACAATTGTACCTTTGGGTATTTTTCACAGAAAATGAAAATTATGTCTAACGAAAAACTTGTACATGTATGTTTATAGCAGCTTTATTTCTAATATCCAAAAAATCAAAAACAATCAAAATATGCCTAAACGGGTGAATAGTATAAAAATTGTGATAATCTATATCATGTCATATTATTCACTAAATATTTTTTTAAACCTATTATTACACAAAAAGAACTGGATGAATCTCAATGGCATCAGGCTCGGTTAAAAAAATCCCAATCTCAAAATTTCACATATTATATGGTTTCATTTCTATAACACTTTAAATGACAGAATATATAAAAAACAGATTAATGGATGCCAGAGCTTAGGAATGATAGAACGGGAGGCATTTATGTTAGTATAAAGATGCAGCCATAAGAAAGGTCTTCTTGGCTTTTTAATAATTCTCTAACATATATGATGGTGATTACACAAATCTATAAAAGTGATAAAATGGCATAGAACTATGGTATTTTATGCAAATAACACGCACCTTTTATGTTTATTTGCCCACTACTCCCTCCTCTGAGAGTGTGCTATGCTAAATATTTTACAGTACTATGGAAAAAAGATAGGCATTGCTGTCTAAGAAATACCTCTCTAGGAGAAAAAGCAGTTGACAAACTTAGAAAGTATGTGATATTTTTGTGAAAGTACAGTGTGTACATATATTATATCAAAGCCAACTTCCTGGTTTGGTTATTGTACTTTAATTATGTACGATGTTAATATTGGTATAAACAGGGTGAAAGGTATATGGGACCTCTCTGCACTTCCTCTGCAAATTATTTCAAAATGATCATCTCAGAGTCAAAACTTTAAGAAATGTTGTCAGAAGATAAATGTTATATAAGAAATTGTTGTTAAGTGCCTCGACTTTCTCCTGAGAATTGGCTGGTGGTTTCAAACTGCTGACCATTTGAGGATCACAGGCCAAGGCATAAACACTACACCACCAGGACACCTAATACAAAGATAAGTCACTTAAATTGTCCTTATTCACCTTATTTTTGCTATGAATGATCAAGTGCATTTAATTGGGATGCATACTTATATTTATCAAATCAGTTTGAGAAAATATATACTCATTTAAAAATAGGTATGCCATTTTGAAATTCCCAGAAAATAAAAAGTATTTAATATGTTCTTAGCCAAACAATAAAGCTAATGATTTCTGATTTCCCAACATTTTATTTTCTATGACAGTTGGCCAATGAACTATAACTGATCTGAATAAACAAGAAAGTCCAAGGAAGGTAACATGCAGCCTTCTAATTTAGGGAGAAATCAAATATGAGAAATTAAGAATTTGTTGTTGTTCCAGTATATATATGAGGCTCTGAAGTTGAGGGCAATGAATAGGAAATGGAATCAACAGAGATTTCAAAATTCTATGTAAGGAGTAGCCTTACAAGTCAATTGAAAATATGTGTACTCCTCTTAATGGTGCTAAGGACCTACTTCAAATTCAGGTTTTTTTGGTCTTGTTTTGTTTTATCCCAACTTTAAATTTTCCTGTGTTTGATCAGATTGTGATCGCTTTATTATGTTCACACCTTTATTAATTCTGGCACATTTATTTTACCTAGGTGATATTACTTCTGACTTTTCATATGTCATCAGTATGATCTGGTCTTGCAGAAATCAAGAAGGCATATATTGGGCCACTAAGGTAGGCAGAGTAAAGGACCCCCGAGATAATCACAAGAGCCCTCATAAGACAAAGGAAGACACACAAGTCAGAGTAAGAGAAGATGTCATGATTGAAGCAAAGGTTAGAATGATTCAGGGCCAGAAGCCAAGGGATCTGAACAGCATCTCTGGAAAAGAGCAATGAGAGTGAGTTTCCTTTAGAGTCTCCAGAAGGAAGTCAGTCCTGTTGACACCTTGATTTTTAACCCAGTGAAACTTACTTTGGATTTTCTGACTTCCAGACTGCAGTAGAATAAATTTGAGTTGTTTTAAACTATTAGGTTTATGATGATTTGCTACAGCAGCAGTAGGAAATTAATAAATCACATTTTAATCTCATTTTACAATCTATTTTAAACTTGTCTTTTAGTCTACTGTTATAAGGAAGTTAATTTTTAAGCATATATAGTAGCACTGTAGTAGCACTATATATAGGAAAATGTTATACAGAAAGTTAGCCAATGGCTAATAATTGATGCCTAGAATTATATACTTATTTTTCTGGGAGAATAGAGTAATAAATGACAGTCTTAAAAAACAACAAGGAAACCCACTGCCATCAAATTGTTTCCCACACATAGTAATACTATAGGACAGAATAGAACTCCACCATCGAGTTTATGAAGCCATTATTAGAAAGGACCTGTACCCAAAATGGACAGCATGCTTGGTAAAATAGAGGTCAGCAAAAATAAGAAGACTCTTCCTGAGATGGATCCACACTGTGCCTACAATAATAGGCTCAAACACAGTGATACTTGTGAGGATGGCCAGGCAATGTTTCATTATGGTTGTGCATAGGATCGCTATGAGTCAGATCCGACTCAATGGCACCTAACAACAAAACCATCTCTACAAGAGCCAACAACTTTATCTTTCTCCCAGAGGAAAACAACCTGTGCCCCTATGACACCGGGTCTCAAATTATATATATATGTATTTTTTAAATGTAGGCTGGGAACAAAGTGAATAGAATAATATTTTCTACCCAGTCATTTTCCCAAGCCTGTTTTAATGTCCAAAAGTTTAATTATCAAATTATATTCTTAGACTACGGTTATTTCTGTTGTATAAAGTGTCTGGGGTAGCTTGTTTGAAGATATGGTAATATTTAGTGATTTTCTTTTAATATACGTTTTGCATGAGAGGAAAATAAAATTTAAAAGGAAGAAAATAAAATGATAGCAAGGGAAAAAATCCTGAACACAATGCAAATTAAATCAAGTTAAATGAAGATTATGGTGAAGGGTTATAATAACTGACTGTTCAGTGAGGAGTGAAGATAAATGATAGGCCAGGAGGTTAAAAATCTAAGAATGATGTGACAGATAAGATAGATAATTTTCTCTCAGGAGCAATACAATACAATTAGACTTAAGTTTACTGACATTTCAGGGCAAAGACTAATTCTCAGTTTTTCCTACATGTTTTGAGAAGCAGTTTATTTTAAATGGCAGAAACAATTATCATGTGGCACCTAAGGTCCCAAACTTGAATATTATATTTGAAGTCACTCAAATCAAAATGAGTCATTTCATAGTGATTTTGATTCTGCTATCAATTCTTCATTATCTCTCTTACCATTGACTTAAAACAATTTGCAGCCTAGCAGGTTTTATTTTGCCACTTTTGTCCTAATTTATTCTTTTTAAAAATGTGTATGCCATTATTTTACAATGAAATTTAGCTTTGTCTCTATTCATTAGTTTTAGATTAAAATAATATTTGTTAACATCATGTGTTTCTTTCATAGATCAAAAATAAAGCCAGTGTACCACATCAAAAACAAAAAGCAGTTAATGAAAGGTAATTTTTAAAAAGCATCTGTCTGACACCACCGCACAACAAACATTATATCATACCATGACTTGCTTTTCCCAAATTTATTACTTTGGATTTTATTTACATTCTCTGTTGAATGTGCTAATTAGCACAATTTTCATAATAGTTCTTTTCTAATATCAGAAACATTTCAGATATGATTACCGATGTTTATCTTTTGATAGAAATTGCAAAAACATATACACAAGCTTCACTTTTTTTCCTTTTTGTCTCAAATAGCAGTTGTAGCCATACCCACATTCTATTTGGAAAGAAATTCTAACTTGTTTATCTAATTTTTAGTGTTATCTGATATAATACTTGTGGGGGAAAGGCCAGCCCCCCACAACTAATCATGGATTTGATAGGCACAATTGTATGGTTAAAATATATATAGAGAGATTATAACAAAGTCATAGAGAATAAAGAGAAATAGAAGAGAGATTGAAATAATGGAATCAGACATATTTCATGGTAGCATGCTGACCTCAGCTCCTCTTGGTGGTACAGGGCAGGAGAGAGAGAGCGATTTATTGCTAACCAAGGCTTATATATCTTTTGGGGACATGCAAGCCCCTTAATTACAGGTAAAGGTATATGTCACAGGAAGGGGTTGTGCTATAGGTAATACAGTATTGGGAGGGGGATGATTTAGGGGTATACATGCAATAGGAAGGGGAGGGATTGGGGGTACACATGTGAAAAGATGGGCGGATCCTAGATTCAGGATGGAAGCCTAATTTTGGATGTCACTGAGCAGGTTTGACCTGTTCTCTGGCTCTCCATTGAAACCATTATCAATAGGGTGTGAACCCCACCTACAGTGGATCAGACTGATGTCTGAAAGCCCTCAGGGAGAATATATCTAAGCATCTGACCTCTCACCAAGTGCTGGCAAGCAGCCTCTAATGTTTGGCATATCTTTGGGGGAGACAAAGCTGGGTAAAAGTCCTTTGTATCCCACAAACACTTAAACTCCAATTTAGTCTAAAATAGTCCATACTCAAGTGATTAGAAAAGCCAATGCTGCTGGCTAAAACTTGGGTTGAAAACAGGAATATCAATTGAGTTTCACTTTAAAGAGCACATGGTAAGGAATTGAGGATAATGTATGCTCTGACTACTATCATACAAGAGGGATTTTTGGTGACAATTAGGATACCCTTTATTTCACTAATTCACTAATTCCCTAAAACAATCAATTTTGTTCATGTTGCAACATATCAGAACAATAAACAGCATTTTATCAGTGCCATATCTATTTTCTTTTTTTTAATATCATTAAAATTAGTGGTGCTGCAGATTTGATAAATTATGATGCAGTGTACTTCCCATGTGTCACTTTAGCACCATACCCCATTAGAGCTTTATCAGTAAGGAACTCAGAAGAACTTGCATGGAAGTTTTCTAGAAGGAAAGAATAATTAATTCATGATGGCTCCACTAGCACTTGACTTAATAAAGCACCTTAAAATAGTTTTGTTGTTCTGGTTTACTTTGAAGTAAATGTGATAGAAAAATAAAGTGTCAATTTTCTGAGTTATGTAAATACAATGAACTGTAGCTAGTGGAGTGTTGTCTAACCTTCTGGAAGTTTGGCTAAAATACTTTTGGTTTGGGGTGCTTATTTGGCTATCCCTGTAATCAGACAGATACTAACATTTATGTCAGTTTACATTAATGCATACCAACTTTTTAGGGGTTGTGTTTTAGAAAACAAACAAAGTTCAAAACAATTGGGGTAGAGATGATTCCGAATTATGGAGACCTTATGGGTCCCAGAGTTGAACTGCTCTGTAGCGTTTTCAATGGCTGATTTAGAATAATAATAAGTTGCCAGGTCTTTTTTTCAAGGAGCCTCTGAGTAGATTCAAAGCACCACCCTTTCTGTTAGCAGCCAAGGACTTAATTTTTTGTAATACTCAGGGACTTCTATGTATTGTTATGTTGTTGCTAGGGTACCTGGAGTTTACTTGATGCAAAGTGATCCCCTGTGACCTAGTAGAGCTGTTCCATAGAGCGTTCTAGACTGCAGTATTTGTAGCAGCAGATACTCCTCCTCCCCACCCCACAGAGCTGCTACATAAGTTTGAGTGGCTTACCTTTCAGTTAGAAGGCTAGGGCTTCATCATTGTACCTGCAGAGCTCCCCATGCATTGATAGAGTCTTCTGTGTTCATGATATTTATTGAGAACTTTAGGAAATGATCATTTGTTTTATTTCTTATGGTAGCCTCCAAAATTACATCAAAGTTTGGACTGCCAATCAAATGAAAAAAACTTTCAAGGTCCTTCAAGTCAAATCTTTAAGTAGCATACTAGATGTCTAATCAGTTCTTAAATATTTATTTAAACTGGGATAGGAGATGGCATTTTGGACTTGAGCGTAGCCCAGATATAGTCTCCAGAATTAACCCATCCATGTACCCTTCCTGAAAAGAAGAAGAAGAAGAAACCCAACCAGTTGAGGATTTGCTACAGCAAACTATCTCATGCGTGGTAACATAGAATACATGGTAGTAACCATTCTCCTGTTAAGACTAAAAAATGAATCTGTAAATATGTAGTATATTAACAAGGTTCAGAAATATAATGAAAACATCTTCTGTAAGGAACAAGAATCCCTGGTGGCACGCTGGGCTATGTGTTGAGCTGATAACTGCAAGGTCAGTGGTTCAAACCCACCAGCATCTCCTCGGGAGAAAGATGAGACTGTCTGCTTCTGTGAAGATTTACAGTTTCAGAAATGCTACGTAGGGACACTCTGCATTGAAATTGACTGAAAAGCATTGGGCTCGGTTTTTACTACACTTGATCTTAGCCAAAAGGCTGAGAAGCAATAGTGGGCTTGGTTTTTAAGGAATAAATTAATGATGCAAACAGAAACAATGCCTATTTTCTAAAAAAGATTATTTCAAACAAATGAAGGGATTGTAGGTATTAAAATTTTGCCCTACCTCTTTCTATAGAGAATTAGAATATGGTTATATTAAAGACCTTGGGAGAAAATAGGCTTTCCCATAAGGTTTATTTTTAATTTAAATATAACCACAAGCAGAATAAAACATAATTATGATTTCCAGAAATTCATAGAGAGGAAAATGTGGCATGTGTGTGTGTGTGTGTGCAAAAGAGTAGAGAAAAGAGAAAACAAATACCTATCCAAGAAACTAATAATCATGGAACACAAGATCAGCTGACAAACGTTAAGATTCTAGTTAGTCTCGTTGGTCTCAGTGCATGTGTATATGGCCTCTCCCTCTAAAAGTGACACTAAACCAATGGTAAATCTCTGTCCTTAAAAAAGCTATTACTAACCAAGAGACTCAATGTAAACTAACTGTAGAGCACAGCTGACATTTTTTAAATGCTGCAAGGCAGAAAGCAGACGGAGGAGCAGTCCTTGACTTAAGTAGAGCAAAGGAAATGACAACAGACCTGCCTACAAAGGGGAGAGGGGCCATATTTGCCAATCCCAAGAGTGGCTCAGCAATTGGAACTACCACATACCTTTGTGGAAATAAACAAAGACCATTCAAATGGGAACAAACAGAGGCTATTTATTCAGAACTTGTTATAGCAAGAGAGCCAGCCACCATCACTTGCACTTGGCAGAGATTCAAAGGAGAACGTTTTATAGTGGGAGAAAGGGAAAGTTCCACGTAGGCCCTGACTGGAGGGTCACCTGGGAAAACTGAAGGCGGGCTGATTAGAAAGAAACACGACACCCTTTGTGGTTGATTTTTGCTGTTGGGTTCTATCAAGTCGATTCAGACTCCTAGTGACTTAAGTGTGCAGAGTGGAAGTGGTTTTAAAGGCTTCGATATTTAGGAAGCTGATTGCCAGGCCTGTCTTTGAAAGAATCTCTGAATGAGTTCAAAGACTAACCTTCCAGGTAGTTATGATGCATATAATGTTTTGTGCCACCCAGGGACACCCATATGATTGATTAGAGGAGTATATTTGCCTTTAGCTCAAAGTGGAGGGATAAGAAAAAGTAAGGAAGCTATCACATCACATCCTGGTGATTTTGGCCTGACTGCTACCAGGTTTGTTGCTTGGCTTATTGGACTGATAGCTGCAGAGTCGAGATGTTGTCCATTACTATGGTCTTTCCAGCCATAATTCCTGGACTCTGTGTCACCATGTGTCTGTCAGTTTATTGTATTGTGATGGCCTGTGTGTTGCTGTGATGCTGGTAGCTGTATCACTGGTATTTCAAATGTCAGCAGGGTCCCCCAATGTGAACAG